CTGAACCCAGGAGGCGGAGGTTGCGGTGAGCCGAGATTGCGCCATTGCACTCCAGCCTGGGTAACAAGAGCGAAACTCCGTCTCAAAAAAAAAATGAAAATCGCAAAAGCTAAATTCTAGGCAAGGAATTAGTGAATTTTCAGTTGTCCATAGGATAGTTGCATTATATTAGTTGCATGATGTTAGGTGGAACTATTACTTTGTTATTGTCTTTATTTGGAAATTAAGTATGGTTTAAGTAGATGTGTTGGGTGCCAAGTTGACAAAGGGCGGACTTACTTTTAGGTGTCAACTTGACTGGTAAGGAATACCCTGGAACCTGGTAAAGTGTTATTTTGAGTGTGACTATGAGGATGTTTCCAGAGAAGATTAACGTGTGAATCCTAGTGCACTAGGTTGGGAAGATCTGCCCTCAGTGTTGGTGGGCACCATCCAGTTGGCCCAGAGAGAACAAATACAGAAGCCAAACTGGTCTCTCTCAGAGCCGGAACGACGTTTCTTCTGCTGCCTTGGGTGTCAGAAACTTGACTGCATTAATGCGTATTATCACAATGTTGACTTTTATTTATTTATTTATTTATTTATTTATTTATTTATTTATTTGAGACAGTGTCTCACTCTGTTGCAGGCTGGAGTGCAGTGGTGTGATCTTGGCTCACTGCAACCTCTATCTCCCGGGTTCAAGTGATTCTCCTGCCTCAGCCTACCAAGTAGCTGGAATTAAAGGTGCCCAACACCAGGCCCTGCTAATTTTTGTATTTTTAGTAGGACAGGGTTTCACCATGTTGGCCAGACTTGTCTTGAACTCCTGACCTCAAGTTGTCCGCCTGCCTTGGCTTCTCAAAGTGCTGGGATTACAGGCATGTGCCACTGCACCTGGCCAGATAATTGTTGATATTCTTTGGTACTACATGAAAACTTGACAAGTATTACCTTCTTTAAGGTTAGATGCACTGTGGAATCTGAAACCATAGTAATGAAAGTTTCATATTCTTTCTTTTTTTTTTTTTTTTAATAGAGACGAGGTTTCACTGTGTTGCCTGGGTTGGTCGAGAACTCCTGAGCTCAGGCAATCTGCCCGCCTGGGCCTTCCAAAGTGCTGGGATTACAGGTGCGAGCCACCATGCTCGGCAAGCTTCATGTTCTTATCTTGACCTTTGAATGGCACTCTTACCTTTGTATATTTTTCTGTATAACAAATTATCCCCCAAATTTAGGGTACTAAAAAAGTAACAAATGTTACCTTGTGATTTCTGTAGTCAGGAATTTAAGGAATGGCTTAGTTTGGCAGTTCTAACCTGAGGTCTCTCAAGAGGTTGCAGTTTATTTTTAATTATTCATTTGAGACAAAGTCTCAATCTGTCACCCAGGCTCAAGTGCAGTAGTGCCATCTTGACTCACTGCAACCTCTGCCTCCCAGTTGCAAATGATTCTCATGCCTCAGCTTCCTGAGTAGCTGGAATTAAAGGTGCGCACTACCATACCTGACTAATTTTTATATTTTTAGTAGAGAGAGGGTTTCATCACATTGGCCAGGGTGGTCTCGAACTCCTGAGCTCAGGTGAGCTGGCTGCCTCATCCTCCCAAAGTGCTGGGATTACAAGTGTGAGCCACCACACCTGGCCGGGGTGCAGTTTAAATGTTGGTTAAGACTGTAGTCATCTGAAGGCTTGACCGCGGCTAGAGGATCTGCTGGCATGTTGGTGTTGCCTTTTGGCAGGAGGCTGTAGTTCCTCCCTATATGGACTATCCATAGAGGTTTGGATCATAATCCTGAAAGACATAATCATATATTTAATAGAAACAGGGTCTCACTGTTTTGCCCAGGCTGGTCTCACTCCTGGTCTCAGGAGATCCTGCTTGAAGTGTTGGGATTATAGGTGTGAGCCATGACATGAGCCAAAAGACTGAATCTTGAATGCCCTAATTCTAAATGTCGAGATCCCAAAATATCAAAATCGCTAAAGTCTAAAATCCCTGACATCAAAAATTCTGAAAATCAAAATTCTGAAAAATGAAAATCGCAGGCNCAGCTAATTTTTTGTATTTTTAGTAGAGACGGGGTTTCACCATGTTGACCAGGATGGTCTCGATCTCTTGACCTCATGATCCACCCGCCTCGGCCTCCCAAAGTGCTGGGATTACAAGCGTGAGCCACCGTGCCCGGCATGTTTGTATTTTTTTAGTAGAGATGGGGTTTCACCATGCTGGCCAGGCTGTAGACCTCACAGCAACTCTATGAGACAGATATTAATTTCTCTCCACTTTAGGGATGAGAAGCGGAGGCTCAGAGAGGTCAAGTAACTTCCCAGGGCCACCGGGTAAGAAACTGTGGGATTTGAGTGCAGCTGAGGCTGTTGGATGCCACGGCCTAGACACACAGCACAGCGTCATCCTTCAGCCTCCCAGGTCCTCCAACTCAGTGTGTCCAGAGCCAAGCCCGCCTAGAACTGCCTTCCCTTTCTCCATAGATGGCACAACTCAGACACCTGCGAGACATCCTAGACTCCATCCTCTCTGTAGCCCCAAAACATAGGCAGTTACTTCTTGAGTCTTTCTGTGATGTCCACCTTCCTCCATCCCATGGCCACTGCCCTCATGAACTCTTATCTTTGCATTTGCAAGAAGCTCACCACAAGCCCCCTCCAAGCCACCTTCCACAGAGCACTAAAGAAATCTAACTAGAATATTAATGGTCCCAGCTTAATACCAGCATCTCCTCCCAGCATGCTCAGGGGTTCCCCATGGCCTGCAGGGTGGGTCTCCCAGCTCAGAAGGCCCTTCAGGATCAGGCCTTGCTTACCTCTCTGGCTTCTTCCTGGCAACTTGGCCCAAGCTATGTCAAATCACCTGTGGTCCCCCAAGCGCAGCATACCCTTTCACAACTCTGTGTCTTTAACGTGCTGTTCCTTCTGCCAGCAATACCCTTCCTTATCTTCTCTATCCAACAAACTCCTATTCATCCCTCAAAACCCTGATATGGCATCTTCTCCCTCATTCTGAAGCCTTCCCGGACCTCCCAAAGACAAAGGGTTTAATGCCGCCGGGCATTCTACTTCTTTCAGCAACACAGCCCTGCACTGTAATGAGAGGCCTGGCTCCCCTAGAAAGCAGGACAGTGCAGACCTTCTCTGTGTCTCTGTAACCTAGTTCAGGGCCTGGCGCCCTGTAGGCACTACTGAGTGATGCTTACTGAGCTGAAGGAGAACGCTCTCCCGAAATCTGGATTTTAGAGGTGTATTGCCTGCCCTGTCATTCACCTTCCCAAAGCCTCCCTCCTGGAGGGCCGGACTGCGTGTTACATTTTGCTTGTCTCCTCCTTAGCAGTAGGACTGCAGCTACACTATTTCCTATTTCCTTGGGGGTCTGACAGGGTACCCAACTGTTCTACCCCACCAACTGTCTCTTGGGGTGAAAAAGGCCTCCGCCACCCACCCTCTGTACCTTGGAGGGGAGGAGGTTGACTCCCACGATGCGCACGGCTGCCATGCGGGACACTGCCAGCCCGATGGCTTTCTCCAGGAAAAACAAGATTCCAGGAACCAGCAGCCACTTCCAGAAGCTGGGCCCATGATGGATGAGCAGAACCCACACGAGGAGGTGGGACAGGTGAATCCAACAGAAAGCCTGTGGGGTGGGGGTGGGGGCAGTAAACTTCCAGAGCTCAAGGCCTCGGGGGTGGGACAGAGACAGGACTCAGGGTTACCCTCAAAGCCAGGACAGTGCCCAGAGCCTTGACTCTCTCCTGGGGATGGGGTTGGGTGAGAGGTTGGGGTTGGGAAGATTCTTTTTCCGAGGGCTTGGCCAAGGGAGCCTTTGAGGGAAGATTTCTGATCCCAGAGGCAAACATCTGAAATATCTGCCTGGGAGGTTCTGGGCAGAGTGGAGTGCCCCCACAGGGATTATGAGCATCAATATCCCGATCCCCTGACCCATTCTCAGAAGGAAGGAAGAAAAGGCAGCAATGGCTTCCTGGGAGTGGAGAAGAAATAGTGGAAGACAATTGTGGCACCTTCTAAAGCTATGGAATCTTAGCCAATTTTATTACTTTTCTGAATGTCAGATTCCTCATCGGTCAAATGAGGCTTCTGATTCCTACTTCAAAGGCTTGTTGCTGGCCCACAGTAGGTATTCATATATGTCTATTTCTGATGTGCCTAGGCCAGGAGACTGTCAAGGTCTCCAAACCAAATCGTCTGTGACTTTCTGCATCTTGAGGAAGCTGGAGAGATGGAAGCAAAGATGGAACTGACATTTTCAGAGCACCTACATGCTAGGTATGTAGTTAGTGGTTTTACATGAATTATCGCCAATAATTCCTAAAATAACATTGAGGATTACACCTCCATTTTACAGATGAGAAAACTGAGGCTTGGAAAGGTGGAGTGACCAGTAAGCAGGGGAGTGGGGATTCAAAACCTGCCGAGCCTGTGTTTCTTCCCCTCCCTGTGCTGTTTCAAGTCCAACTTAACCCAAATAGGTTAAAGGGATAAGCCAGCAGAAAGGCAGACACTCCCAGAGCAAAACATCTACATTTGGCAGACACAAACTACAGTCCAGTGGCAGAACCCAGCAGCAGGCCCTAAATCACATGCAGATAACACGCAGACCAGCTTGGGACTTTCCTGGGCTCTGGAGTAAAGTAGAAGGGACACAGAAAGAAATGAAGGTAGAACCCTGGCCTTGGGGGAAGCAAAAGGGCAGGGACCGGAGCACCTCAAAGTGGCCACTCCTGCGGATGCCCGAGCTGGAGCAGGTGAACATGAGGAGGAGCAGCAACAGCAGAGCGACACCTGTCATGGAGGCTGAGCCGTGCACCCAGCCAATTCAAGGCCTCCTGGTGAGCAGCAGCTCCCAGAGCTGGAAAGGGCTGTCCTCTGCCTGAGCCTGGAGTGCTGGAAACAAGCCCAGAAATCTGAATGACTGCAAGACCAGCTCTTCCCACTCCACCTTCCCTTGGGATCCCCACCCTGTACCATCAGATGCTAGCACAGGCAGAAACTTTTGTCCAGAGCATTGGTTTATCCAGGGCACCCCTTCTCTCACCTTTGAGCAGGCAGGGCACTCAGGGTGCCTGGGCCCTGTATTCTGGGCTTGGAGCTGCTCCAAGTTCTCCCCAACCCAACTCTGCCCCGGATCACTCACCAAAGTTCACAATGAGAGCCACGGTGTGCACAAGAGATAGCCCCACCACCACGTAGCCCATGAGCTGGTGGAACTGGATGTTCTGGTCCAGTGGTAGGACTTGAGCCAGCCACGTGGCCCGCAGCCAGGCGAGGCAGCGTCTGAGCATCAGCAGAGTGGCAGAGAGCCCCACCTCACTCTCTGTCTGCCTTGTCCGCTTTTCCCAGCCATCTCCTGCAGCCTCCTGAGCTAACTGTGCTTTCTGAACAGGACACGCACCAAACTCCCCTGCCCCCATGCCTGCTGCTTCCCTGGTTCACAGCTGGGGTCTCCAGAGGAGAGTCTCCAGAATTGGGGTGGGAAGAGAAAGTTACAGAATGTCTATTTGTATTAATTTTTATCTAAACACATGAGAAACACCTATACTTTTACTAATATTTAATATACAGGCCAGGCACAGTGGCTCACTCCAGTAATCCCAGCACTTTGGAAGGCTGAGACAGGAGGATCACTGGAGCCTAGGAGTTTGAGACCAGCCTGGGCAACACAGCAAGACCCTTGTCTCTATAGAAAAAAATTTTTTTAATTAGCTGGACATGGCGGCATGCTCCTGTAGTCCTAGCTACTTAGGAGGCTGAGGCAGGAGGAATGCTTGAGCCCAGGATTGCTTGAGCCCAGGCGTTTGAGGTTACAGTGAGCTATGCACTCCAGCCTGGGTGAAAGACAGAGACCCTGTCTTAGATAGATAGATAGATAGATAGATAGAATAAATTAAATAAATAAAATATCTCTGTGGACTTGGTGCCTTCATTTGGTCCCTATGTCAGATGGGTGTGTGCCACATTAGTTCTCGAGGTGCCTTGGAGGAGGAGCAGACTTTCCTAAATGCAGAGTGTTGACCAGGGTCCTCTCATTGCTCATTTGCCTTCAGTATATTTATGCGTGCCAAGGATGTGGACTTGCAGGTTCCGGTATTTGGCGTTACCGAAACTCAGCTAACTACCCCTCACAGGAAGGACAAGTAGCTTTATAAGTTTCCCGGCAGAGAAACCACAGATTGACAGTTGTGTTGATAATGCAAGAGGAAGTGACCAAGAAAATAAGTCACACGCCTCCCACCCCTGGAATGAACTCTTTGTCAGCTGGTTACACTGTTAATGCAAATCCCACTCTAGGAATGGGTACCCCATTTTACAAGATGTGATTATTACACATTGTATGTATCAAAACATCCCATGTAGCCCATAAATATATACACCTACTATGTGCCCACAAAAATTAAAATTAACAATTAAAAATAATAAAAATAAATGTAAAACAAAACTCACAAAACCCACTTTAACAAGAAGCTGATATCTAGAAGCATATCTGAGCTAGAGGTGGGCATTCCTGCTCGTCAATGATGAATCTTCCGCTTTAGTTAGTTACTTTGTGCCTTTAAGTCTATTAGCTAATGATAATAGGGCATGGAGATAATCACAAAAGGGCCTTTGTTTTAATGGGAGTAGTTGTGTGATTAAAAACTCTTAGAGGCCAAGTGGAGTGGCTCATGCTTGTAAGCCCAGCACTTTGGGAGGCCAAGGTGGGCAGATCATGAGGTCAGGAGTTCAAGACCAGCCTGGCCAATATAATGAAACCCCATCTCTACTAAATACATAAAAATTATCTGTGTGGTGGTGGTCGCCTATAATCCCAGTACTCAGGAGGCTGAAGCAGGAGAATTGCTTGAACCCAGAAGGCAGAGGTTGCAATGAGCTGAGATCCTGAGGTCCATTGTATCTGGGTTAAAAACCACCTCTTAGAGACCTCATCTGCAAGTCAGAGAACCACATGCCAACTCCATGATCTGGTATTCAAGGCCTCTTGCAGGGTTTCCTCTTGAAGGTGGACCTGCACAGGACTCCACCAGAGGGGAGTTGTGAAGATCAAATGGAGCCTACTCAGCACGTTCCTGATGCATAGTGCACAAAAATGCCAGTTATGTTATTACCTACTGGCTGTGTGACTGTGGACAAGCTGCTGTCCCTCTCTGGGTGGCATCCACCACCTCTGGGCGTTGGCCCAGCTGATTTCTAAGGTGCCACCCTGCACTGGCATTTCAGATGTCCTCTGTGTGTCGCTCTGCCTAGGAGGAGCCCTCCTTGGAGCCCCTGCTTGCTTCCCCGCCTGTGCTGGCACAGTCTACCGCGATGACGCTGCAGTCGAAGTTGAGGCACTGGCCTCAGCCCTTGGCCACAATGACGCTGGTGCCGAGGTCCCAGTGCGCGCTTGCCGCCAGTGCAAAGAGCAGCATGTGGAGGCCTGCGTAGGCGGCCAGGCAGAGCAGCTGGCTGCGGTGGTTGTGCCAGTAGGCTCGAGTCAGCGGGTGCGGCCGGCGGGGGTGTGGGCGGGAGGCGGGGGGCGTCAGCCAGTGGGTAGCGCTGCAAGGGAGGCGGGCTCCGCTCAGAGGGGCGCGGTGGGGTGGGGACCACGCGTGTCTGAACCTAAAGACCCTCTCCAGCTGTGGTCGACCAAGTCTGGCAAGCAGGCCGGCTTCCTTCACACCAGGAAATAGAGAGGTCAAGTGACTTGGTCACAGTTGCCCAGCTCCGTGGAGCTGAAAGGGGACTCCAGAGTGCTGGATGTCACAACCACGGCTATTTTTTTTTTTTAATTACTTCTCTTTACTTTCCAATGTTAAAACAGTTAACAGAAAAGGATGGAAGAATCTGAGATATGTTTTGGTAAGTAAACCCCAAGTAAGTTAATACACAGGGGCCCAGCACGGTGGCTCACGTCTGTAATCCAACACTTTGGGAGGCTGAGGCGAACGGATCACTTAAGGTCAGGAGTTCGAGACCAGTCTGGCCAACATGGTGAAAGCCCATCTCTACTAAAAATACAAAAACTAGCTGGCTGTGGTGGTGGGCGCCTGTAATGCGAGCTACTCAGGAGGCTGAGGCAGGAGAATCGCTTGAACCTGGGAGGCGGAGATTGCAGTGAGCCTAGATCATGCCACTGTACTCCGGCCTGGGCATCAGAGTGACACTCCGTCTCAAAAAAAAAAAAAGAAAAAAGTTAATAGTTAATACACAGGAAGAATTAACTACAAAACCGGCTCTATTCAGAGCCTGGAGTCTTGGGTCTTGTTGTTACACTCTTATTTTCTCCACAGCACGTATTAATTCTGTGCTTCTCTAGTTTGTGTGTTTGTTCATTGGTGTGAATGACATGCCTCTCCGTCTGGAATGGGGCCCCAGCAGGGGGGGGACCTCATTCACTGCATTATTCAGAACAGTGTGTGGTTCACAGGAGCTGCTCAAACATTGATTACGTAAATAACTACCTTTGTTAAGTATTTGTGTGATCCTAGGCAGCTTACTTCAGGCGAAGTAATTTCCTTTTGTAAAATGAGCATTGCTATAAAATGCACTGGTATATGCAAAAGTGCTCAGCACACAGTAGGTGCCTCATACCGTGAGTGGATTCTGCAGAGACACTGCGGGAAATGAAGGCAATGAGGACCGCTGCCCTGCGGGGCACCCAAGAGCGGGCTGAACTGGGGAGGAGCAGCGGCGGGGCGGATCCGCGGTGAGTTCCTGCCACATTTTGGCCGGGAGTCTCGCGGACGGTGCCAATGCCCGAGAGATGGTCAGGTTCTCCATGACTCCGGGGAAGCGCCGCAGCTTGTCCCGGAGCTGCTGTCGGTGTCTGCCCACTCAACAGCGCCGGCATCAGCTGGTCCAGCTTCTCGTCGGGCAGCGACAGGGCGCTTTCGCGCAGGCACGACTGCAGCACGGTGCGCACCTCGTCCGGGTCAATGGAGCCGCTGCCTGTCCCGAGTAGGGATGAAGCCGAGTGGTGGCCTGCCCTAGCACCCCACTCTGTACCTGCAGACGCCCCCTGTCATGCACACACACTGCAGGAAGCGGTGGGCCTCTTCTGTTTACCCACCTCCGGCTTTTTGCCAATCAGTTCTCCTTAGGGGTATAAACCATGCTCAGAAACCTTCCACGGTGCCCAACTGCCTGTCTCAACAGCGATGGATGCCTCCCCACGGGTATAGAATAATCTTTGGCTTCAGTGGACGTCTGTCTACAGAGTCTGTAGCTTCCTAAGTACTGCTCAACTTCCAAGACCAACTGCCCAGAAAAATATTTCTGCTTACTTAATCTGTAAGGGGCTGTGTGCCCACAGTCTCAATTATCCAGAGGCACACTGCATGCGGGTTCGTGCTGAGGGAGTGTGCCTTGTTCAACTTGGAGCAGATGCAGTGTTTATCCTGCTGTCTTCAGAGGGCCACAGCTGGGCATTCCAGCCCAGGGTGTGGCCTGATGTAAACATGGGTGGTGGGAAATGATGGGATAAGGAAGCCAAAACTACCAACAGAGATGAGATTTTTCTGTATGCATCTTATTCTTCCTGAGCAGCAGAGTCCATGATTAATGGCTTCTTGGCCTGCTTTGGATATGGACACACCCAGTGTGGCACCCTGCTCCTGCCTCTCCTTCACTCTGCGGTAGTGGGTTCTAAGTCCGATGGGGTCATGGACCTCACTTTGCTAGTCTCTAAAATGAGAGGAATCATTCTTCCCTCTCAGAACTGGTTCGAGGACACTAGATAATTGCAAAACACCAAATGCAGTATCTGGAAGAAGGCCGTTGCATATAAATGGAAATTCTCACCGGTGTTGTGATCATCATTCCGGCCCAAGCTGAAGTCCGTAATCCCATTACAATGCAGAATCTATTAGAGTATGTTATACTACTCCCCAGTCACAGCTCCATGCACCTCCTGTTCTGCTTTCCTAGTCAAGAGCCATGATGGCAGCAGGTTTCTGTACTCATCTGGAGGACCAGTCCCTCCCTGGCCCCTTCACGGCCTCTTCTATCTGCCTTCATCTCTCTGTTGGTCAATTTCAAATCCAGGGTTCTCCTTCACAATTCTCATGCACACATTCCTCTTCCTTGTCCCTCTAACCTTTGATTCCACTGACTCTCAGAAAATCCCATTGCTGGGTGAAGCCAGCTACCTGTTTTCTGCCCTCCTGCACCAGGGCAGCAAAGTGAACATTGCTGAAGAAAAACTTTTCAGAATGCAGGTCCATCCCTGTGAATCCCTTGCTCAACACCCTGTGATGGCTCCCGTTGCTCATAAGTTAACTAATTTAACCTTCATTTCAACCCTATGAGTATGAACAATTATTATCATAACTCCCATTTGATAAATAAATTGAGGTACAGAGAAGTTAAGCAACTTGCCTAAGTTCACATAAGTGATGGAACTGAGATTTGAACTTAGGTAGCTTGTCCTTAGAGTCTGTGCTGCATGACACACACAGTGGAGTATAATGCAGCCACTAAAAATGGCACCGTAAGTACAGTGAGTCACCACTTCACATCCATTAGGATGGCTATCATCAAAAAGCAGAATATAAAGCTGGGCACAGTGGCTCACATCTGTGATCCTAGCACTTTGGGAGTCCAAGGCAGGCAGATCACCTGAGGTCAGGAATTTGGGACCAGCCCAGCTAACATGGTGAAACCCCATCTCTACTAAAAATATAAAAATTAGCTGGACGTGGTGGTGGGCACCTGTAGTCCCAGCTACTTAGGAGGCTGAGGCAGGAGAATTGCTTGAACCTGGGAGGCGGAGGCTGTGATGAGCCAAGATTGTACCACTGCACTCCAGCCTGGGCGACAGAACAAGATTCCATCTCAAAAAAAAAAAAAAAAAAAAAAAAAAAAAAAAAAAAAAAGGCAGAAAATAGCAAGTGTTAGCAAGAATGTGGAGAACTTGGAGCACATTACTGGTAGGAATGTGAAATAATGCAGCCACTGTGGAAAACAGTATGGCAGTTCCTCAAAAAATTAAAATAGAATTACCATGTCATCCAGCAATTCACCTTCCGGATATATACCCAGAAGAACTGAAAGCAGGGACTCAGATATTTGTGCACCAATGTTCATAGAAGCATTGATCACAATAGTTAAAAGGTAGAAACAGCTCAAATGTCCACTAATTGGTGAGTGGATAAACAAAATATGGCACATACCCACAATGGAATATTACACAGCCTTAAAAAGGCATAAAATTCTGTCACTTGCTATGATACAGATGAAGCTTGAGGACACTCAAGTTACATAAGCCATATACAAAATGACAAATATTGTATAATCCCACTTAGATGAGGTGCCTCGAGAAATCGGATTCTTAGAGAGAGAAAATATTCATAGAATGGTGGTGGCCAGGGACTAGGGGAGGAGGAATGGGGGATCAGTGTTCAGTGGGCACAGAGTTTCAGTGGAAGGACGAAAAGCTTCTGCAGATGGAGGGTGGTGATGTTGCACAGGAATGTGAATGTGTTTAATGCCATTGAACTGTATGCTTAAAAATGGTTAAGGTGGCACATTTTGGCTGGGTGCGGTGGCTCACACCTGTAATTCCAGCATTTTGGGAGGCTGAGGTGGGTGGATCACCTCAAGTTAGGAGTTTGAGACCAGCCAGGCCAACACGGCAAAACCCCATCCCTACTAAAAATAAAAATTAGCCAGGCCTGGTGGCACACTCCTGTAATACCAGCTACTCAGGAAGCTGAGGCAGGAGAATCGCTGGAACCCAGGAGGCGGAGGTTGCAGTGAGCAGCGATTGCGCCACTGAGCTCCAGCCTAAGGGCTACAGAACAAGACTCAGTCTCAAAAAAAAAAAAAAAAAAATGGCAATTTTTATATTTTACCACAATAAAAATGATACTGTAAAGCAATATATTTTTACATTTCAAAATGCTGACATTTTAAAAGTGAAAAATCGCAGTACATATAATATAATCCCATTTTGTTAAAAAGAAAAAAGGTGAGTGGAGTGTGTATGTGCCACCAGTTAGAAGGCAACATAGCAAAATGTTACGGGGGATTTTTGTGTTCTTTATACCACTCCGTACTGTCTAAAATGTTCATGGTGAGCTTATATTATGATGAAAAGGAAAAAGCGACAGAGATTTTTTTTTTCAAACATAAAAAAGAACAAAAGAAGGTTCTGGCCTCTGGTAAGTTGAATAGAAGGCATTTGTCTCCTGTGCCAGAGTCCCCCTTTTCTCCCGCTGCCCCAGAAAGCGGGCAGGGATCAGACAGAGGGACAGGGATGGGGGAAGAGATGTGAGGGAATGAAGTGTCAGCCTCACCTGGAGAAACCAGTCCCAGGCTGGGCATGGCAGGCCCGGGTGGCACCTCCAGGCCTAACGAGGTGAAATGGCCGGTTCTCACTGAGGCCCCCCACTGCTCTCCCCACCCCAGCCCACACCCAGGAAGAGCCCTTACCATCGATGTCATGCACCTGGAAGAGGAATTTGAGTTTGTCCATGGGGCTGCCATGGATGAGCAGGGTCAGTGCGTCCTGCAGCTCCTGGAGGGTGATGGTGCCACTTCCATCGGAGTAAAATAGGGCAAAGAATCTCTCTGCAAAGAAGGACAGTCGGCGAGGAGGGTGGAAGACAGGCACAACTGTGGCCGCAGGGCCTGGGCTTCGAATTTGTTCACTGTCTTCCTGTGTGTGGAAAGGTAGCAAGGGGTGGCAAGGGGGTGCACCACGGCGTGGCAGTATTCAGGCAGGACTCAGGTGCCTGAACACCCATCGTGATCTGCTCAGTGGAAGGCCTGCTCTGATCCCTGCAGTGAGCATGGGCTTGATTTGGGCTTCAGGCCCCCTTCTGACACTGGGCTTTGTAATTTGCATGGGCTGTCTGCCCCCTACATACAATCACCCCCATCAGCCTTGCAGTCCAGGCCTCTGGGTGATTCCTTAACCAACACGGGAAAGGGTCAGACAGGGGGTCCTCCTGTGGGCTCCTTCCAGCCCTGTATCACCCCACTTGGGGCGAGCCCAAGGGATGAGTGAATCTGGGAAGGACTTACAGATTCCACTGGAAGGTCTAAGCCCTTTCTTTAGTTTGTTTGTAAGGCTGCCTATGTTTTATACTTTAGTCTTGTTCTTAATCACCAATTCCCTCATTCATTCACTGAGCAGTCTTGCGCTGTGTAGCCTTTACCTGCCAGGCCTGGTGTTAGACATTGGGAGCACAGAAATTAAGAAGACAGGATTGGATGAGTGTCCTAGAGATGCTGTGTCCTGGGAGGCTCCCCTCACGGCAAGGGAAGGACCCTGTGGGGCTATAGTGTCTGACTTAATAAAACTATGAGGGGCTCACTAGTATGAGGTATAGGCTGAAGTCCGCCGTAGACTGATAACCCTCCCTGGGCTTTCTTCTTCGTCTCCAGGATCCCTGGGTAGTACCTTTATCACTCTACCCTCCCGAATGCTCTTTGTCTTAAGATGTTTTATAGCCTCCCATTTGGATGGGACAATCTCATTAGGGAGAATGGGATTTTTTTCCTTCCCCATATTTGTTGTGAGGGGAGGCATGGAGTTAGAGTTCTGAGCAGTATCCCCAGGACCAGCAGGGGAGGGTCCTTCTGATTCAAGCAGGGCATTCAGATGCTTATTAGCTAGTGTCTGTCAAGGACTAGGACAGCATTCGATGCGAGTCCCGAGGACAGCTGGGAGAGGCTGGCGTTTCAGGTTCCAGTCCTCGCGTCTCCGCTGATGTCTCCTCTGTGGGTCAGGGCATGCAGGCTGTGTGGGGTGGGCAGGGTCGCTGTGGGGCCCAGAGGACTGGGAACCGTGTGTCACAGCAGACAGCGTGTTAACAGGTGTAGACCATTAACAAGCTTATCTCGGAAGGAAGCCTAAGTCAGGGCATCAGCTCTGCCCATAAGCCTAGTGGAAATGGGGGTTAATCATATTGCTTAAGATTTGACAAGCTGCTGATTTACAACTTCATGTGTTTTTTCGAAGACCCCAGGAGGCCATAGCTACTAAGAGGAATGGGAGCGTGCTAGAAACAGCCCACCAGCTCTGCTACAAGGTGGAGACCTCGGGAACCCCAGGGAGCTCCCTTTCCCTCCTTGTAAGGGCTATGCCCTGAGAACCAGGGCACATAATGATCAATGCAGGGCTTCCACCGTGGGCCAACACCTGCCTCTTTCACACACAAAGCTGTTTTGAATTCTTGCAGGCTGATCTCCCCACCTTCTCCTGCAATGGTCTTAAACTGCTGAGTCACCCACCGGAGCCACTCACAGTGCTGGGAGGCAAAGGAAAGGGTTTATGGGCTTGTGAGGTCTCATGGTGGTCCCAGGGCCTCCGCCTTGCTCTAACTAGGGCCCTGGGCCTCTGTGAGTTGAATCAGGTCGATCAGCTCTGGCTGTGGATTGGAGCTTCCCACAGCCGTCTCTCCTCCTCCCTAAGCCTCAGTCTCTTCCTCTTATCCAGGGGTGACTGGCCCAGGCTTGCTTCTGTTTAGGTTCTGAAATGACAGGGCCCCAGTGAGATGGACTGTGGGGATTGGTCAGAGAATGGCGTGCTGTGACTGCATTCACACCATGACAGCAGTGACGCTGTGACTGCATTCACACCATGACAGCAGTGACGCTGTGACTGCATTCACACCACGATAACAGTGACTTTTCCACCTTGCATTTATGCAGATCTTTACTGCTTTCCAAATATTTCCCACCATCACTACTTCCTTTGGTGTCTCCGACAGCCTGGTGGGCCAGGACATTTTGCAGAGAAGAAATAGTCACAGACCAGTTAAGTAACTTAACTAAATGTATTCAGCAAGTTGGAGACAGAGACTTCAAATTCAAGTCCAGTGTTTCCTTTCGTTCTGCCCCAAAGCCTCCACGCTCTGCTTAAATGCTTGTAGCACAAGACCGACCAAGCCAGGATTCAGCCCTCAGGTCTTAACTCTCCAGGCCCAGGTTGTCTTTTATGATGTCACCAGGGTATTGGCTGTCTAAAGCCCTTACAGCTGGGCTGTCTGTCCTATGATAGACAGTAATAAAAAAGACAGAAGATGACAAATGTCAGGGAGGACGTGGAAAACTGAACCCATCATACATTGCTAGTAGGAATGTGAAGTGATTCAGCCCCTTTGGAAAACAGTTGGGTAGTTCCTGAAAAAGTTACACGTAAAGTTACCATATGACCCAGAATTTCCACATCTTGCTATAAAACACGTGTCCACACAAAATGTGTTCATAAATGTTCACAGCCACATTATTCCTAATAGCCAAAAAGTGGGAACAACTCAAATGCCCATCAACTGATGAATTCATATACAAAATGAATATCTATTCAATGAAATATTAGTCATAAAAAGTAATCATATCTACATAAATAGTAGACATATGCTACACTACAGATGAACTTTGAAAATATTATGCTAAGTGAAAGAAGCCAGTCATAAAAGAATACATATTGTATGATTGCATTACATTAAATGTCTGGAAAAGGTAAATCCATAGAGACAGAACATTATTACCAGTCGTTGCCAGAGGCTGGAAGACAAAGGAATGGGGAGTAATTGCTAATGGCTAAAGAGTTGTTTGGAGAGGTGATGAAATGTTCTGGAATTCGATATGATGGTCATGCAACTTTGTGAATATACTAAAAACCATTGAATTGTACACCTGAAAATAAATACATGTTAAATGATAGTGATAACACCAAATACTGGTGAGGTTTCACAGAAACTCATACATTGCTGGTGATTATGTTAAATGGTACAGCCACTCTGGAAAAGAGTGGGCAGTTTCTTATAAAACTGAATATGCAACTGCCATACAACACAACAATGGCACTCCTGGGCATTTATCCCAGAGAAACGAAAACTTATGTTCACACAAACACCTGTAAATCAGTGTTTATGCAGCTTTTCTTTTCTAATAGCCAAGATACAGAAACAACCCATACATTCTTAAACAGGTAAATGGTTAAACTACGGAGTACCACTCAGCAGTAACAAGGAATGAATTGATACGTGCAAAAACCTTGATAAATCTCCAGAGAATTAAGCTAAGTGGAAAAAAAATCAATCCCAAAAGATTATGTACTATATGATGCAATTCATGTGGCATTCTTGAAATGACAAAATTATGGAAATGGAGAACAGAATAGTGATTACCAGTGGTTAGACAGGAAGTGGTGAAGTGGTGTAGCAAGAAAGCGGCAACATCATTTTTATGATGATGGTGATGTTCTGTATCTTGTACCAATATCTATATTTTGGCTGTTATATTGTACTCTAAATACTACCATTTGGGTGAAATGGGGAAAGAGTACACTTAACTAGATCTGTCTGCATTATTTTTTACAACTATAAGACATGTGAA